TAGGGCTTGAACAGTGACTAAGCAGTCAGGTATCTGCAGTAAGAGAGGCCACTGCAGCAACAGCAACAGCAGCAGCAGCAGCAGCCACAGCAGTAGCTGCATCCTCTGGGGAAGGTGCCAGAGCCCATCAGTCTGAGTTAGATGCAGGCTTGACAGGTAGGTAAATACCAGCAGTAATGACAGGCTGTTGTCACAATGGTTTCCTCATTCCAGGACTGCTCGGTTCTCTTTAAAACATATCACAGCACAATGGCTTTTATTGTTAGAGTTTCAGAGCCCTGCCCTCTGGGTTTTAGAATCCATGCCCTCTGGGGTCTTAGAGCCCATGTCTCCTGGAGTGTCAGAGGCCATGCCCCAGGGGGCTCCAAGCCCATGCTTCCTGGGGTCTCAGAGTTCATATCCAGATGCTGCATTGCAACCTAGGGCTGTGACTGAACGTCAGATGAGTGAAATTATGTTTTCATATGACACAACTCATTTTTACCTTTTCCTCATATACCTTCCAGCAGTTCTCTTGGAGGCCATTTAAAGGGAGGAAGTATTACATGGAACAAATTTGTCTAATTTCCTGGCTTTTCCACTTTTCCCTTCTTAAATAAATCTATAATATAATATCAGTAAAATGTAGCATTTGATATTTAGAGGATTCTAAAAACAAAAATAAAAACTTCATCCATGTGAGATCCTCACATCTCTGGCCCAAACCCCAGACAGCAGGGCTATAGGAGTTCAGATTGTTCTTTCCTTTGGGAAAGGCCAACACCTCCTGGATTCCAGAGGGCCATCAATTCTCCCACATTCTTATCTAAGGGAAGCAATAGCAACCAAAAATAACAGGAGGAGATACTGGACATATACAAGAAAAGAATTAGAAAGTGTTACTCTGAAGAACAAAAAAAAAAGAGAGAGAGAGAGAGAGAGATTGAGAGAGAGATGATCTTGCTAATAGTGGGAATTTGGGGTATTTGGCTGAAGAGGCAAAGCTTCATTTAAAAGAGGAAGAAGCATGTCCTGGAGTTAAGAGCTCTTCTTTGCTTCACATGGTTAAAAGCAGAACCAGAGCCAACGTTCCATCTCCTGACACAGCTGCAGCTCCTCTTGTGCAAAACGTTCTCCACGGTTTCTTCAGCAAAGAATGGAAAGCAAGATTGAATGAGGTATACGACACAGCCAAAAAGGTGTTATGTCCATTCTATGGGTGGGAAAACTGAGCAACAGAGAGGATTGCTGCTGTTGTCCTTGTTAGGGTGGTTTGTACCCATGAGGGACATTTGGTAATACCTGGAGACAATCATGATGTCATAGCTGGTGTGGTATGGGAAGGTGTTTCTGAAATCCTTTCCTAGAGGCTCAGGGATGCTGTTGGACAAGCTGTGGCACACAGGAGAAGTACAGCAGCCATCCAAGGGTGGATGTACTAAACCACAAATATTTTTTGCCTGGAAGTTGGATACATAAAAGCCAAATGGACATTATTTGTCACCGTCCGGTCCGTGTTCTTTTAGCCTCACACATAGCCAGTTTCCTACAACCTCTTTGCCAACCTTAAGTGCCATGACCATAGCCCCATTTTGTCTTTGGGGCTCCAGTCACACATTCCTGTGCCATCTCCAAGACGTTTGTTTTAATTTCTTCAGGTGCCCAGCCAGAGTCGGGCTGCTCCTCCCCATGGCTTCTGGTAGCAGCTGCTTTCAGGAGGATTGTGCCCGCAATGACTCTCTCTGTGTGGTCCTCACGAAGAGTTTGCAGGTCACATGTATCTCCTGGAATCCATGCACGGTCTGTGTGGTCCTCCAAAAGGTTTGCAGGTCACAGGCCTCTCTGTTCTGGCACATCTGTCCAGGGTCAGGGCTGAGATGCATTTGAAAGGGACATGGAAAATGCTCCCAATTCACTATCTCTCTACCTAGAGCTTGGGGCCAGCTCTGGAGAACAACATGGCCATCTAACTGTGACATCTGATTTGGGCTGGACTCATTCAGCCTCAAACCTGTTCTTGCTATATTTTCCAAATTAATTTTTTTCTTTTTTTTTTTTTTTACATTTTAAGGTAAATCTTTAACCGGGAAATTAGAAGGTCGGCCCGACCCCCACCTTTGCTCTTTACTTAACTTTATGCCGAAATTCCACTGTATGTTTCCAGGGATCATGTAGGGTCTGCCTACATGATCAGAAAATAGTTGTTTGTTTTTTGTTTTTTTTTTTTTTTTTTTTTCTGTGTATCACCTTCACAGCCAGTTTTGGAGGCTCAGGGTTTCAGCTTCAAAAATCACTACAGCTGAACAGATTTTTCAAAAGATTCACAAAGCTATTCTGAGGATTAATGGAGATAACGGAGGTGAAGGGGTTTTCTCCAACTATTGAGCTTTCTGTACTGTGAACAGTGGCATGGGGGAACTAAGAGACAATGGAGATATCCCTTCCAATTGCCCAGAGCAGTACCTGTGTCCTTTAACATCCAAGGTCACTCCCCCCAGAAAGTAAACCAAACCCCAACCACACTAGTCTCCATGCAGATTTCATCTCTGGTTCCAGGCTGCAGAACTACGGTGTGCATTTTCCAAACCAGAACTTTAGATAGAGGGTCTTTAGAACTGATGGTATTTTGAGGCAACTTAAATTGGTGTCATGCCTTTCGTTCAGTCTACCGTCGTCCACCCAGTCAGATGCAGCCAGAACCAGAGTGGGTTAGACTGTCTCCTTTTGCCTTCCTTCTGCACTGCTCTGCACTGGCCGGTGATTTCTGCTTGGTGGGCATACACACAGGGGCTACATGAGGTCGGGTTTAACCCTCATTATTTCAAAAGGCTCCAGAGGGAAACAATTCATAGCTCACCATCCCTACACATTGCCTCTCTCTCCACTGTAACCTGTCATGGTTGCTTCTAAGGAGGACAAAGAAAGTTAATAATCATGATAAATAAGAAAGGAAGTTTCCCCTTCAAGTAGAAAATATAATGAACAGGTGCGGGTCCAATCTGCGTCATACAAGGGTGCTCTATGGAGATTCCCAAAGGCTTTAGGACGAATCCTCTTTTCATCATGAAATGCAAATGACACCAGAAAACAAAACTGTTTTTTGTTGTTGTTGTTGTTGTTGTTGTTGTTTTCTGAGACAGAGGGACAGGGTTTCTCTGGGTAGCCTTGGCTTTCCCGAACTTGCTCTGTAGACCAGGCTGGCCTTGTAGTCACAGAGATCTACCTGCCTCTGCCTCCCTGAGTGCTGAGATTAAAGGCAACGTCCAGCTCAAAACTGCTAATTAATTTTATGTATTTAAATATGTACCTTTATTATTTGGGGGTCATGGTTGAGCACCCTCTCTCCCAGGCTTCACCCATGTTAAGCAGATGCTCTTAGCTCTTAGCACTGGGCTGTGCTTCTAGCCCCAAGCTGTCTTTAGGTGTTGGCTTGTGCTTTCATTCTGTAAGCACATCTCAAATTTCCATGTAACTTAGTTCTTAATAAAATAAAAATCGCCATTTTTAGCACCTAGTCAGAATGTACACGTTACATCTTCCCTGATCTTGTAATTATGTGTCAACAAAATTGATTTTGTTTGGCTCAGATGTTGCACAAACCAAAAATCAAAGAAAAAATTCTTCCAGGGAGAATGTTTTGAAAAGATGAAGGCCAATGGCAATATCGCAATGTTTTCCATTCAATCTTCGTATGAAATAAATGCGGCCTACTGTGACTGAGGAATGCTGTGCTCCTGGACCATATATGATGTTCACTTATGCACCATGGTTGTCTGGGTGATAGGGGCATAATGTCGTTCAGGATCAGGGAGAGTCCCTTAGTTAACTTCCTACCCTGGTCCTACCGTTTTGACCCACGGGCTTCTAGCTCCTCTTTAGATGCTCTGCTGGGGGATCTCCGCATTCTTGAAGAGGTTTTGGGATCCCCTACAGTAAATAAGGTGGAAGGCAGAACGCATCCAGTGGTGGAGTTAGGGGACCTATGTTCTGGCAAAAGCTTTATCACTGACAAGCTGTCGCCACCCTGTTTTCCTGCATAAGAACTAAAGAAAGAGACGAATGCTCACTCACTTATCTTAGAAGATCTCAGGGGAGAATCAACACCCACTTCGTAAGAGGTAAAGCCCTGCAATGTGATGCCATTGCATAGAAAACTAGGATTTCATGAAGTATTTATTTATTTTACAGAAGACTTATTTTTAATTATGTGCATGTATGTTGGGGGTTTTGTACATAGGCTGTACAACATATGCTGTACAAGTGCTCTTGGGAGTAGAGCGGGGGGAGGCATCAGATCTCACGGGGCTCAAGTTACAGCTGCTTGTAGGCTTCTTGATGTGGGTGCTGGGAACTGAATTTGGGTCCTCTATACACACACATACTGAGCTATCTCTCCAGCCCCAGCTACCTGTTTCCTTATCGTTTCCACGAGTGTAAACATGGGGAAAAGTCATGGCTTATCTAGCTTCTGTGTTACTGATGTTTGACTGACTGATAATTTGACTTCAGTCATCAGCATTTTTGTCATGGTCATTTTTTAGTCTACAGACAAGAAATTCTTAGCTGCTCAGGGAATGGCAAAATGGCTCAGTGAGTAAAGGCACCTGGCATCAAGCCTGACAACCTGAGTTCAATCCCCAGACCTACAAGATGGAAGGGAAAAACTGACCCCCACAGATTGTCCTCTGAGGTCATACACATGTACAAACTTACATATATACACATATACACATACACAAATAAAATAAATACACAAAATATGACAAAAGAACTATTCAGCTGTATAAAGATATCTTTTTTCTTGTGTGAAGCCAAAGCCACATACAGCTTTGAGTGAAAACTGTCATTTTGTAGCATATGAAAAAGTAAGAGAATTCAAGAATAACTGGGCACCACAAACTCGAACATAACAGATGAAAGTCTATAAAGTTAAGTCACTATTTATTTCAATATTGTAAACCGACTTGTATTCTGACGCCAATGGCCACATGTTGGATTTAGCCATCAGCGCTGCCACTTACCATCGCAGACCCAACGCGGCTGACTTTGATGGGGTTCCCTCTGCCAGAAAGGTCCATCTGGGCTTTGTCCATCACATACAAGCAAGCATCCAGGATGCCATCCTCAAACTGTTTGGAAGAAGACGACGAGAAACTGTCTAAACTCCACTCAGTACAAAAATAAAATGCAGCCACAAGTACTGCTTAGAAAAGTTAGTGACTGCTGGCAACCTTTAGCATGAACTATTGAAGAGGAGAAAAAGGATGCATTTTTTTTAAGCCAGAAATACGAATGGAACCACTACAGAGCCAATGTACCAAAGGACCACACACTGACTCAAGACTATTTAGGACACTGCACAAGTTCATTAAGAGCCTTCCAACAGATGGATGCGTTGCCCAGAGTACAGCGTTTTCCCAAAGTTACTTGGAAGTCCCAGGACCTCAAAAGCAACTCGAGATTGTACTTTCTCTCATTTTGTTATTAGTATTTCTTTCGTAGATGGCTGTTTTCTGATGAGAAGAGTGTAAGAAAGGATGTGGATTTCTGTGGGGAGGAGGAGGGGAAGTTCTGGAAAGAGTTGGAGGAGAGGAAGCTATAATCAGAATATGTCATATAAAAATCTATTCTCAATTATATATATATATATACATATATAATTGATGTATATATATATAATTGTGTGTCAGATGTATCACAGGAAGGTACTTCAGGTTCTGTTGGCATGTATGTAAAGCAAGAGGAGACCTCATGTCGGGCAAGTCCTTGAAGATCCCCCGTTCTCCAAGACAAGGTGATTTCTAGAGCCTCAAAGGGCAGGCATTTTAGAGAAGGCAGATTATAGTATCTCATGGGGGAGACTGGAAGCTAATTCAATTTTCTTGGAAAAACTCTCCTTACAGGTGCTTCTAGAATTTTTCTTAAAACAGAATAAAGGCCAAAAAAAAAAAAAAAAAGACAGAATGAGGACATTTCCACTCTACTATGCACAGTAGAAGACTCGTCTCAATATGGAAACATTGGATGCTATCCACCCATGTATTATGACAGAAACTACAATGTTAATGGCTGATTACTATGTAATTGCTTATTAGATCTATCTAGACTAAGGAGTGTGGTATATCCTAGAGAGCTGGATAATTTAGGCATAATGACTTTTGTGGATATATAAATAACTCATTATATCGGGTCTTACTAAACAAAGTATCTCAGTTGTGTTAGCCACTAACCACAGCATTAACGACACCATCAAAGAAATCATCGTTTCCCTGCATTACTGCAAACAACTGTTTTGTCCTGTTCTTCTGTCAGAATGACCGACCTTGACGGCCTTGTTGAATGGTGGCACAGGGCCCATGCTTCCACCAAGTCATGTTTGCCAGGTATAACCTGCCTGTGCTGGGATGGCATCCTAATTCTTTGATTTCCTTTTGATGACTTTCCCCTTTATGAGCTATCTAGGTAACATCACATTCGGATCATAAATGGCCTTGCACCTGGTGTAGTTTGGAAATGGTTTGGGTCTTCCGAGGAGTGACAGTGAGTTGATAGAACCTTTAGGAGTCTGGCTAATACAAGGTGCTAAGGTCACAGGAACATTGGATGCCTTGAGAAGGGATGATGCAATCTCAGGGAATAAATTACTTCTCCCTAGCACTGTTGTTATGCAACAAGGCTAGCCTATAGGCCTGGCCTTATGCATACAGTTACGCATATGGTTAGTTACCCCTTTCTCTCCCCATTAAGTTGTAATGACATTAAGGGGATCTATGCAGAGGTTGACCATATAGAACTGTCCAATATAGGACTTTCAATTCTAAAACAGTGAGATAAAAACAAAACAACCCTTCCTTTTATCAAGAATCTAGCCTCAGTCTCTTTGTTATAATAACAGAAAACAAAGACAGCACCTACAGTCTGGTGACTAGAGGGCCAGACATGAATTTAAAAAACATTTCGAGTAACCACAGACTATATTTTGACAGGTCATCAGAGATGCAGCTGGGCTAGACTCAGTATTAAATGTAATTCTTAAGGGCCAGAGTGAAGTTAGTCACTAAACTGTAGATGGGGATAAGAGTTCAGGATGATGGCACCAACAGTCTGACTGTGTGGGGGGACACAGGGAGATTTCTTATGGATATCAGGAGCCAAGACAGTATTATGGGACTTGGTGTGGCCAGATACCAAAGAAATCTTTCCCTGGACACTCAAAGCAATAATATTCAGTTCCAAGCATTTCTGCCAGTATCCTCTGAGAGATAAACACTCCCCCCCCCCTTTTTTTTTAATAATCAACTAACATGCCTAGATCACACAGGACCTGTATGTATCTCTGGAAATGGGACAAAATTTGATTTAAGCCAATGTCAAAAATACTCAGTTGAAATAGTTTGAATTACTGAATACCTTAAGGAATTACTATTATCAGTTTTTTAACCCCTAAATAGTAATTTGAGATTGTAACTTATGGAAACACCTCTGGATATTTTCTGGAAAACCCTTCAGCAAAATTGAAATAGTCTTTCCTTAATAACTTTTGTTAATAGACTCACACTTTTTATCTCTTTTTAATTTCTTTCAATATATTTTTTGATTATTTAGTGGTGTATGTGTGTCAGAAGAAAGAGAGAGAGTATGCATGAGAGAGAGAGAAAGCAGCACATGTGGTGGGGTGCCCATGTGAGGTTCAGGGAAATTTTAGGGGTGACATTTCTCTCCTTTTACCATATGGGGTCCTGTGCTGAACTAGGACTGTTAAGCTTGGTGGTGAGCACTGAGCCACATCACTGTCCCCTAATACTTTTCTTGTAAAATTACTCCCTTAAATTTGGCACACCCCCTGCTATATTATTTGCACTAAAAATATCTTTATAAGCAAAAGACAAACTTTCGGCCCATTTCAGATTGAAATAATGAGACGTCATGGTCTCTAAGATGCCAAAGTGTATCTCAGTGACTGCCATGTTAGCTGTAGGCTCCCCGATCTCAGGGACATTTGTAATAAGAGGAAGAGAGCTGGCTCCAGCTGATAAATTATGCAGCTGTCTCTCTAAGTCTCCACTTCCATGCACTCTGTCTTGGAGTCTCAGATCCTGGAAAGCAGGAAATTGTGCTTTTCTAATATAGATGCATGGCACCCGGCAGTAATAAATGTGACAGAAAATATTAAAGAAGTGTCCTTGAAAATGACAGATTTTAAGTGGCTCACCTGGCCATAGCTCCAGCTTCTGCTCTTGATGTCATTGAAGTCCCCATAAAATATCACTCCGATGTCATTCAGGACATACTCTTCTCTCTCTTTCTCATCATCCAGATACACAGCATCCTCTGCATCAGGATGGGAACACAGTGACCTTTAAGCACCCACTCTGTTTCCAAACCCTTGCAAGTTCATGCCATTACTAGGCTGAGAGTCAATATACCCAGAGAAAAGATGTCTTTTGTTTCTCAAAGCATAGCTCATTCCCCAATATTTTTAGTCGCAGTGAACATAATCAGTACCAAAGATCAGTCTATAAATGAGGACATTTGTCAGCAACATGCTGACAAACTCTGGCTCTCACTGTCTTAAAGCACAATTAAATTGACACATCTCATTAAACATTCTGTGATGCGGGTGCTTCGTGGATTCACAAATTCTGTGGTGCTCAGACAAATTTCCAAGCCTACTGAAGTTAAAAGTAGCTCAACTGAAAATGATGTTTGAAATAAATCTGGGACACGTGGAAGCGTCATTTGCTGTGCCCCACCATGGCCCACTGCTTTGAAGGAGGCAGAATGTCAGTTATCTTATAATGAAAATTCTTTGTGGATGGATTTGTAGGTGTGTGAGCCTAACAAGCCTGCTCAGCTAGCTCTAACCATCGCCAGGCCTTTCTGGTGGCTCTAACGTCAAGAAGGCTTTGCTCCCACCCACTTAGCTGTCTGTCTGGTACGTATTCCCAGGCCCAGAAAAACATCTTCCGCACAGGCAGGATCATACAGGTGTCGATGCCACTGAGGTATATTTGCATGAAATGAAACAGGGTCAGTCCTGGCTCTTATGGAGGGGAAGGTTTAGTGTGTCTCTCTGCACCTCCCATCTCTAACAGCCTTTAGAGCCAAGTCCTCTTTATTCTGGGCCGTTAGAAAGGAAGCTCTCTATCTTGTGTAGCAGTGCTCAACATTGTCTGAACATTGCAATCACCTGGAGAGATTTACCAATGACATTCTCAAAGGCTAGATAGATAGATAGATAGATAGATAGATAGATAGATAGATAGATAGATAGATAGATAGATAAGTTATTTATTTTATGTTAAGATTTGGATTTGAAATGCTCCAAAGGCCCATGCATTACCAACTTAGCCTGTGGCCTGAGCCAGTATCAAGAGATGGTGGAGTGTTTATGCATCAGAGCCTTGTGGAAGGAAATGAGGTTACTGAGAGAGAGGGTTTGAAGGGGGTTTTGAGCCCTAGTGTCCTCCTCTTTCTTTTTCACTTTCCAACCACCAAGGAGAAGTTTTTCACCCGGCACTTTTGCAAGTGTCCTGCCAAACCATAGCTCAAAGGCAAATGTGGACTAAAACATCTCAAACCAGAAGCCAATTATAAGCCTTTCTTCCTTTAAATGGATTTGTCTTGGGCGTTTGGCACTGTAACTGTAAACTGGCTAAGATGGCCATGCTGCATCCTGCATCGATTAAGTTTGAACTTCCAGGGCAGGATGAGATGCAGACAGTAGGGTTTTGTTTCGTTTTATTTCTCAGATGCCCCATGATTTTTGTAGCAGCCAAAGTCCTACTCCCTCATTCCTCAAAGAATGGCTGGAAAGACAAGCAAGCATTGTATCTTCGGTGGCCTGAGAAAAATATCAATCCACCTCCCACACCCCTTAGTCTTGGAGAGTCAGAATCTGCATGACAACTAATGGGATCCTCAGGGGAATAACAAGCACAGTGAGGTCTGATGGTCTGCTTGGTCTGGTCAGCCTATCATGCTCTGTTCTGTGGTTTTCACTGAAACCTTTGGGAATTCCTTCAAGTGGTTCTCAGCAATTTCTTGTAGCTTTTGTTTTTAGTCTTTGCCTCTTGTTTCCCATTTGCATGGATTCATGCAACTACACACACACACACACACACACACACACACACAGGTATACACACACATACATACTTACACATGTGCATACACTTTGTGTGTGAGAGAGAGCAAGTGAGAGAGGGAGCGAGAGAGAGAGAGAGTGAGAAAGCAAGAGTGTGTGTGGTATAGGGGCGCCCTTCATATTATTGGCTTCCAAATCCTCAAGATTATGGGTGTAGAGTCTATGCAAACAGAAAACCATTTAAAATAAAGGACCTGACTGTCCGTGGACTTTGTTACCCTGTAGAGGGTTCCAGAAAATGATCATCTGTGGGTGCTAAGGCATGGCTGTATATTTCGATATCTCATAAACTGCACGAACTTAGGTCCTACAGTTGCCCAGTCAAGATAATAAACACACGTCACTATTACAGCATCTTTGCACTTGTCTGTGATTGTTCTTTCAGCACAGCCCACCGTCTCTTGTGATCCTCCTGTCCTTACTATCCTTGATATCTGTACACTATCACACTCAGTTCCACAAAGCCCTTCTTCATCTAAATCAAAGCAGGATTTTTTTCAAAAACAATAAAGAAAATATGTTATATATTTTATTCACTTGTATATATAAAGCTTGTGTATTTTAGATGTTATAAACTTGAAACAAGCGATAAACTATAGAGATGCTTCCAACAATAATCGTTATTTATTTACGAATGTTGGTAAAAATTTCCTGTATGTAAAGAATTCTGGTAAATTGAAAAAGACTTTACAAAAATACAGAAGAGAAAAGCAGAAAATGAAAGCCAGTCCATAAAGGAGGACTTGCAATTGGAAGATAAATACAGAAAACATGATTTTTTTGAGTAGTAATCTAAAATTGTAAAATAATAAAATTGACATATATAATAAATACATGCATACATAAATATATGTATATTTAAACTTAAAATATCCAATATCAGCTAATATGTGCCATATTGCCGATCTATTGATAAGATCATAGCTGCAATATTTCAAACAATTTGGCAACTATTTCACTGATAGTAACTTAGCCTCAGTCTAGAGCATAGTTTATCTATCCAGTGGAAATAATTCAAAGATTCATAAAAAATGCATGCAATTGTTCATTGTAGTAATAATTATAGTGGAAGAAATACAAAAATCCTGAAATATTTTCCAATTTTTCCACAATATAATAGTATTTAGCCACTGAAATATACTTAAAGGAAACTGCAATGATACTAGGAACTGCATCTGTAACAAAGCAAAAAATCAGATATGGAAACAAGTCAAATGTGAAATATGATCAGTCAGATATAAAAACCTGGATCCACACATGTCCACTATTATTATACGTTGCTTGGAAAGACCGAAAAATGTGTATGTATGTATGGATATCAAATGAAAACCATTGGGGGATCTAGAAGGGACACCATGAGCCTGTCTAAAAGAACTGAGAATTCTTGGATTAAAAAAAAATTCAAGAACAAGAAACATATGGGAAAACATATGGTGATTTGAATAAAATGACCCCTTAAGTTCTTGTGTTTTCACGCTTGGCTCCCAGGCAGCAGAACTGTTTGGGAAAGATTTGGGAGTGTGGCCTTGTTGGAGGGGTGTGTCACTGAGAGAAGGCTTTGAGTTTTAAAAGGCCCAGGCCAGCTCCCATGGCTCTCTCTCTGCCTGCTGCCTATGGATCAGGACTTAAAGCTCTCAGTTACTGCTCCAACACCATGCTTGTCTGCTTCTCACCATGATGATCATAAACTAGTCCTGGAACACTGTAAGCAAGGCCCCAGTTAAGTGTGTTCTTTTATAAGACTTGTCTTGGTCATGGTGTCTCTTCACAGTAATAGAACAGTGACCAAGACAAAAGGCAAAGCAAATTCCTATGAAAAAAAAAAAAAAGAAAAAGAAAAAGAACAGCTTATTACAACCTTGGGTCAAGAAACAAGAGATGAGGCTAAAACCTCTCTTCCTGCAAGAAACAAGAAAATCATCAATGATCCCAGGGGCCATGACAAAGGAGTAGATAATGCTGGAGAAACAAAAGTCATTGTAAAAGGGTAGAAGACACCAGATATTTTAGCATTTGTGAATTAATATTGATCTTTAAGTGCACTTGGTCAATTTTACAGAGTGCTAGGAAGCAGCTGGCTGATTTGAACACAGAGGAATCAGAAAAGACTGACAAACTAACATGTGAATACCGAAAGAATGAGAGAGCTAGATGTGGCTATTTGTAATGCCTAATGAACTCATAGGAGTAACTTGGTATCATTAGCTGGAAGGAGAGCTGTGTAATGGATGTATGAGCGCAATGAAATGAGAGTTTATTGATTATAATCTAAATATCCATATCTATTGATCGAATACAAGCTTGGCGTGAGTTAGGATGTGGTTTTTTTTTTTTTTTTGTAGTCATGAATGTTTTTATTTTTCTTTTTTTTTTGTTATTTTTTTAAATTATTTTATTAATTACACTTTATTCATTTTGTATCCCCCCAAAAGCCCCTCCCTCCTCCCCTCCAAATCCCACCCTCCCTTCCCTTTCTGCATGCATGCCACTCCCCAAGTCCACTGATAGGGGAGGTTCTCCTCTTCTTTCTGATCTTAGTCTATCAGTTCTCATCAAAAGTGGCTGCATTGTCCTCTACTGTGGCATGATAAGGCTGCTTCCCCCTCAGGGGGAAGTGATCAAGAGCAGGCCAATCAGATTATGTCAGAGGCAGTCCCTCTTCCTATTACTATGTAACCCACTTGGACACTGAACTGCCATGGGCTACAGCTGTGCAGGGGTTCCAGGCCATCTCCACGAATAGTCCTTGGTTGGTGTATGGGTCTCTGGGAAGTTCCCTGTGTTCAAATTATCTTGTTCTGTTGCTCTCCTTGTGGAGTTCCCATCCCCTCCAGCTCTTACTATTTCCCACTTCTTACATAGAATTCCATTCACTCTGCCCATCAGTTGGCCATCAGGCTCAGCATCTGCTTTGATGGTGTATACTGCAGAATGTGTTTTTATCCCACCAAGAAAACATCCAGAATGTTTGAGAGTGAATTCGATCCAGTCTTTAGATATATGAGCAGAAAATGTCATGGGGATACAGGCACATATTTCGTGACATCAAGGCCCAGAATTAGCAAACTAAGAATATGATAAGTTCTAAGTGACAATGCAGTTTCAGCAATGAGTTTGTGGTAAAACAAATAAATAAATAAATGAAGAGGATTGTTGAAGACATTCCAGAAAGTTCAAATTATAA